TGCATCACATCTGCATTGGACTGGATGCTGGGACCACTGCCATGCTGCCTGAAACTCATGCCTCCTCTCGGAGAAATAAGGCCAGGCCTTGGTTACTCCTGAGCTGTAGCTCCCTCTTCCCTAGAGGTGAAGTTCCTCTCAGGAGGGAGGTAGCCCCACCCTTCACCTTGCCAGAGAGACCCTGACACCTAAGACCACCCAGGCCCGAACTGGGGCCTGCTCTGCATTTAGAAAAAGTCAGTGTTGCTGATGGTGGGTGCAGGTGGGAGACAGAACAACAATGCAGAGACTTACTGCCTTTCTGAAAGCTGAAGATAAACGTGGGGCTGCATCCCAGCCTGGTGGCGTCTGGAAGGTAAGGGCGTGAAATCCCTGCTCCAGGGCTGTGGAGTGTATGCAACTCTCTTTGGAGGGGAAAATTGCTGGCACCGATTAGCAGGTGCCAGACTCAGCAGGATCTGTTCCCTGAGGCTGGAACAGCAGCTTCCAAACTGGAACCCAAGGAGCAGGGGAGGCCTGGCAAGGCTATGGGTGAAGGCTGGGGGTGCTGCTGCTTTATGCCCTCGGAGGGGAGACCCAGGCACTGCATTGACTCATACACCCCACCTTTAGCAAGAAAGGTAGAAATCCTCATTCTCTTTGTCATTAGTGTGGTTAGAAATGTTTATATTTTGCAAAAGGACATTCATCTAAACGTTCACCATCTCTTCATCTCTGGGCGGCAAGTGTGGATGATTTTTATCTTCTTGTTTGTAGTTTTCAAGCTGCTTGAATTTATTTATTTATTTTGCAGTAAGGGTGTAAACAATAGCAATGGCATCCAAGAAAGAAAATTTAAAAATCAACCAGACCACACTTTGCAAAGAGGTGAAGCGGATACAAAAGCAGCGAAGGAAGAAAGTAACCAGGCTGGTTGTTCCGCAGCCGGGGAACCGAAGAACTAGACCCACTGAGTCCCAAGGAAGCAAAGATGAGTTTCAGAAACTTGCTGAAAGAAAGCTCTTGGGGGACACAAGTGCTTTTGAAACTTGTAAAGAAAAGACCTGTAAGGCTTTGTGGCTTGGAACTGGGATCTTGAAACCCAAGAGGACTCAGTCCAGGCTGGAACCATGACTCAAGTGCTGCCTCTGAGCCGCGGCAGACCAGGGACTCAACCTCTCCTGAACTCAGTGCTTGCTATCTGTAAAATGGGCAGGAAAGAGCACCAGGACCGGGACAGGGCTCATAGAGTCCAGATGGGAAAGGCGGCCCCCTTCCTGCTTTCTCTCCTCAGTGCTCCCATTTTATTTGGAAACCCCCTGGGATGGAAGAACTCCTCCAGGTCCCTGGAACTCACTCAGCTTCATTAGCAACTCATCTTAAAAGCCCCTCCTGAGCAGGAAGGCAGCTCCTGCTGTCAGATTGTTCACCTGCCCTTTGACCTAGCAATTCCATTTTTAGGAATTTATACCACCAAAAACACTCACACGCTGTGACCAATGCCTGCCTGCTTCTCCAAGGAGTAACAAAGAACAGCAAGCCTTCAACTGTATTTCAAGAGGGGCACCTCCACGCACGCCCTGCTTGTAAACATGCAAATAGCTCCTGGTAAGTGTGGTTGCCCTGGGAAGGGAGCTGGGGGTCTGGGTAGGAGGAAGAATTGGCAGCTTTAAACCCACTATCTTTGATTCAGTTCACTGTGAGCAGGTACTCCCTGGAAACAGCCATCTGCTGGCCTTTATCCCACTAGATTGGTAAGTAGGAATTTCTGCTGCTTACCCACAGCCAGCTCTCCTCTCCTTTGCAGGACCTGCCACCCTTGCTGTGGTATGTGACCAATGCTGGCCAATGTATTGTGGGAGGAAGTGACATAATGCTCTTTTCCCTGCCTCAGTGGCCTGGAGATGGAGGCACCACAAACAGAGGCAGCCTGGGTCCTGGAGCTTCCATGTGGAGGGCAAATGCCCTAGAGAATCTCCTGGACTTACAGACAAAATTTTGTTGTGTTGAGATACTTAAATGGGGGCTCATTTGTTATGACAGCACAGCCTAGCCTTGCTAACTGATACAGATTTGGAAAACCACATTCTGGTTCAAGGGTTGAGACTCCCGCAGGTCTCAATTTCCCCCATGTATACAGTGGGGCAAGGCGTCTTATACCCTCTAACTAGGGCTTGTGCTGCTCGTGTTCTCAAATCCCAAAGGCCTGAGGATTACCTGCCCAGTACTAAGGGTTGCTGGGTGTTAAGTATTTGCTGAACGCCAGCCACTGGGCAGACCACCTAGAGTATATCATGGAATCCCTACAGTGGCCCCAGGAGGGAGGCCCCATTATCATCCCTATTTCCCCATGAGGAAATTGAGGCTCAGAGAAGTGAGGTCACTCACCCAGGAACATCAGCATCCGTGTTCTTAACCACTCTAATGACAGCTGCCATTTGGTATTTTACCTTATTTCTCATAAATGCAACTTAAAAGAAAGCCCACTGCTGACATCTCCAGAGAACTTGAAATAAGAATTTTTTTCAAATTTTACCATCTTACCCATTTTTGAGTGTACAGTTCAGTGGCATTAAGTACATGTGCATTGCTCTGCAACCATCACCACCATCATCTCTGGAACTCTTTTTATTTGCAAAACTCTGTCCCCATTCCCCAACCTCCAGGCCTTGGCACCCACCATTCTACTTGCTGTCTGTATGAATTTTCCCGTTTTAGGTACCTGATATAAGTGGAATCGTGCAATATTTGTCCTTTCGCGACTGGCGTATTCCAGTTAGCATAACGTCTTCAGGATTCATCTGTATTGAAACCTATCAGGATTTCCTTCCTTTTTAAGGCTGAACAACACTCCACAGTGTGGATACACCACGTTTTGTTTATCTAGTCCTCTAGTGATGGACACTGGGGTTGCTTCCACCTTTGGGCCATTGTAGATAATGCAGGAATGAACATGGTAGTTAGTACATATATCTCTTGAGACCCTGCTTTCCAACTCTTTTGCACATATACCCAGAAGTGGGAATTGCTAGATCACATGGTAATTCTATTTTTTATTTTTTGAGGAACTTCCTTACTGTTTTCCACAGTGGCTTCACTGTTTTACATTCCCATTTCTCCAAATCTTTGCCAGCACTATTTTCTGGAGCTTGATAGTAGCCATCCTAACAGGTGTGAGGTGGTAGCTCATTATGGTTCTGATTCGCATTTCCCTAATAATCACTGAGGGACTGAGGCTTTTTTAAATGCCACTGGCGAGTCCGTAGTGGTGCGATCACCCAGGGCTGCTTCCACAGGAGGAAGCAGGGGCTGGGTGCTGCCCCACTCCTGGGGGTATTAGAGCAGCATCTCAAAGTCCTCAGCTCCAAACGGGTAAGGGTGCTGTGCTCCTGGTGCTGCAGTGTGACCTGTGCTCCTATGAAAGGCTGGGGGAGGCCCCACCCCAGCCGGGGTCCCAACTTCTCCAGAACCTCAGCCTCTGATGTTGCAACCCCTGCTTCCCCCACCACCCCGGTCCTGAGCAGGATGAGAGCCGGGCCTTTCCTGTCCCAGCTGACCCTGTGACCTAGAGTCCTCACCCAGGCCTGGGACACAGGGCAGAGAGGAGACAGCACCACAGCAAGAAAGGAGTGGAGACTGCCCACATGTCCCGTGGGTCACCCACATGTCCTGTGGCCTTCTACATCCAGACAAGATCAGCTTTGTGGTGGGAGAAGAACAGGACTTTGGAGTCTGACAGACTCAGTTCCATCTCTGCCATTTGCCATTTGAGTAAGTCACTTCTCCTTCCAGCCTTTACTTTTCTTATCTGTGAAATTGCTGAAATGGTGCTTGGCACATAGTACACACTCATTAAACACTTGCTATAATTACCAGCATTATCATGATCCTTAGTATCATCAACATCTAGACATCTGAGCAGGCCTGCGTCAAACAGTCCATGGCTTCCCATTGCCAGTAAGACAAAGCCCCCTGTGCTCTATGGACTGGTGGGCACTGCCTGGGCCGGCCGCTTCCAACATCTGCAACCTCTTCTTCCCTCACTGACCCCTTTCCAGGCACCTGGGATGCCCTCCTGCCCCTCAAATACCCAGCACTCCTTTCTGCCACAGGCCCTTTGCATATACTCTTCCTTCTGCCTGAAATATGTTTCCTTAACACACCCCACTCCTGTCCCTTCAACACTTAACCCCTAAAAGGCTCTGTCTCACCTTAAACATTACTTCTTCAGAGAAGTCTCCCTGGACATCCCCACCCCTGTCCACATGGGAGCCCTCGGTCCTCATGACCCATACATCCCCATAGCTCTCACAGATGCTCACAGGACCAAACTATGAAGTTGTTTGAGGAATGTCAGCCTCCCCGTGTGAGCTCTGTGAAGCCAGGATCACACCTGTTTTGCTCCCTATTTTAGTGCAAGCACCAAGGACAGGATCGACCCAAATGTCCCCAAAATATTAGTCCAACTGAGTTATTCATTTCCCAAATCTCCCTGATTTGGGGAACTCAGATTCTTTTCAACAAAGACTCCATTACCAACAATATAACTAAATTAGCTTTAGCTTTCATACCTTTGTAAGATTTTCCACTCATTAAATGAACAAATCTGAGAAAACCCTCAGTTACATTCTGTGTTCTAATTTTCCAGCTCAGGAAAATATGGTCACTGCACTCAGAGCAGCTGCTCACAATTCCTGCCATGCCTCCCACAGCCCAGCCTCTGGCCACCCTTCCTCAGAACACAGGAGAGGTTTTGGGCTGCTCCGTGGGTCACCCCTTGCTTGGGGATAAATGCCAACCATGAGTAATGGTGGGTTGTGAAGGGAGGCGCAGACGCATTTTCAGCCCTGTCAGCAAGATCTGCAGGAGCCGTGGTGGCCCTCTGCGCAGGGTTAGGGCCTGACGCAGCTGGTCCGCACACAGCAGCCCCCAGCAGCTGGGGAGTGTGGGAACAGACCCCAAGGTGGCCACGGGGCAGGAGGCCTGGTAATGTGTGTAGTCAAAGCCCTTGCATTCGCTAATTTCTCCATCCACTCACTTTATTTCCACAAATACTTATCAAATAACTACTGTGTGCTCAGCCTGGCCAGGGGAGGCCCTGGTGCAGACCCAGGACCTGCCCTCCTGTAGCAGGAAAAGGGTGCTGAACAAGCGATTGCACAAACACAGCATTACTTCTTGGGGAGACCCAGGGCTCCTCCCTATCCCAGGCTCACCGCCCTTCCCTCTCTGGGCTGAGGACCTCTGGGAGGCGGCGCTGGCTTGGCAGGGTGCTCCCGAGGGCCCCAAAGGAGGAGGTGTTGAGAGGCGGGCAATGTTGTCCGTTCAAAATGGTTCTCAGTGAAAGACCTCCCTTGATGTGGTGATGCAAACAGGCTACGGGTAACAGTCACTCTTAGTGCTCTGGGCTCCTGGCTGGGGCCCGCTCCGGCGACTCCGTGAGGAGCCCTAGAAGCAGGGTGGACTGTCCCAAGACACAGGCGAGTTGATGGGGGACTTGGGACTTGAGCTGAATTTGGGCTCCGTGAACACGGAGGGTGAGCCCTGGGTGAAAGAGGCCCACCCACAGTGACGACCCGAGCCTGGGCAAAGGAACTTGGCCTGGGGTAGGAAAGGAACATTTTAAGTGAATGGACACATGACAGTTGGGAGTGTCACACTCACACACATAGGCACACAGGGAGAGCTGCTGGAGAAAGCCTGCTTCCTGCCCCAGGGACAATGTCCCTCTCATCTACTCAGAGCTTCGGAGGCCCTCACCTGGGCCCTCACAGCTGCCTGCTGAGGCCCTGCCTCCCATTCTGCAGCTCAAACAGCCGAGGTGTCCCTGGAAAGGGGAGCAGCTTCCTGTGCGGATGACTGAGGCCTAAGAAGGAAGGCCTGAACCTCGGGGAGATGGAAACCCTCAGGGAATTTGTACCCCAGCTGCTTGCCAGCCTAAGGACCAGAGTTCTCGGCTGCCACCACATTGACACACATACACACACACAATCTCACCCTTGCACTAACACACACACTGGCACATGGATAATTATACCAACACACAATGACATAGTGACACACACACATAGACCTACACATAGATACACTGCACAAACACATTGAGGTGTGTGTGTGCACGGGCACACTCACACACACGGACTCCAGGTCTCCAGCTGGTCTGCGCTCTCCACTCCAGAACGGCCTTCCCTGTAGGCTGGAGCCTCCTCTGTGAAATGTTTCTGTCTTCACCGGATCCTCCAGGTTGCCCAGCAGCTGCCACGTGGCCTAATATCCTGAGAAATTGGGGAAGATTACTTTAAAACCCGCACCTTGAATTTTAGGCTTAAATAATATTTTGGAAAGTTGGGGCTCAGTCTTTAGGCCCTCTGACCTGCGCTAGTGTTGCCAGGCAGATGGCAGGCAGGTAGGACACTGTGTGTATGGGGGTGGCGGGTGGGGCGGGGGATGGAGACCACGGTTGTTGGGGGGCATTAGTCTGAGCAGATTCCATGTCCCCAGCTCCCAGGGCTGGGAACAAACCCCACAGAGCAAGAGATGGCTGAGAGGGCTCTGGGAGTCCCCGCTCCCTCCCCCATTCACTCTGCAGTCCTCCCCAAGGGACTTCACTCCTCTGAGCCTCAGTTTCCCCATCTGTACAATGGGCATAATCTACCCCTCAGGGCCAGTGTGAGAGTTCAGTGACACTATACCTACAAAGTTGTAAGCCCTGGACTCCCACAAAAAGATGGGGGGTGGGAGGGAAAAAGCTCAAGTCAGTGGCCCCTGAGGCGTCGTAATCAGGCTGAAAATAACCAGCATTTTCCTTCTCTCTGCTTCCCGCTCCGGCCTCCAGCCCGCCGCCCACCGAGGGGAACGGGGTGCTCTCTCTGGCTCGGGTGGCAGCCCCCGCAAGCCCACCACCAATTTTGCATATATTTAAATCCCTTCTGATGTTTTCAGTCTTGAGCACCCCCTCCCCCGAAACAGAAAGGAAATTACAAAAGCCCGTCATTTGTCTCCGTCCCGCACCCCATCTATCAGGGCCCAGCCCGCCGCCTCGAATGCGGCGCGCGCCCGGGACGGCGCTTTAATGGGACGCCGCGTGTGACCGTGCACCGCGCCGGGCGCAGCCGGCCGACATTTGCATACATATTAAACGGAGCAGTAAAAAATGCAGACATGCGAACCATTTGGACGGGCTCCTCGGCGCAGAGCCTGCCAGGAAATCAATCTTCTGGTTTCTTAAAGGAAACCTGCTCGGGAGGAGGTGGCGAAGCCTGGGAGCCCGCAGGCTATGGGAGGGGGCAGCCGTCATCCGTCCATCTGTCCGTGGAGCCCAGCCAGCTGAGGGGGTCTTTCCCAGCGGCCGTGGTCTCAGTGGAGCCACGGACAGGGAGTCAGGGGCCCGGGCCATGGGTTGTGGCTCAGCCAGCTGTGTGCCCTAGGGGAAGAGGCTTGCGCCCTCTGAGCTCCCTGCACCTGGGGATGGTACTAGCTAAGCTCAGGGACTCCCCACCCTCCGTGGGTGCTGAAGATTCTTCCCTCACTTTATAGCTCTGGGGCTTAAGTGACTAACCTAAGGTGGTGCAGCCTCTCTATGCAGAGCCCGGATCCGAAGCGGGTGCAGCCGGGATAGGCCAAGAGCACAGCCTCTGGAGGCAGGTGGCCTGAGTGCAGAGTCAGGCTCCACTCTGTACAAGCTGTGTGACCTTGGGCGAGTGTATCAATTTCTGTTTCCTGAAAAAATGGGAATCAATATACCTCCCTCTTAGGTATGCTGTTGGCTTAAAGTAGGCGAGTCATCGCCCGGCACCCACTAAGGACTCAATAAACGGTGGCAGAACCGAGTGTAGGAGGGTCCTTGGTGTTACTGGTGTGGTTTCCTGGGTTAAAATCCCTCTCTATGGCTTGGCGAGTCACTCCTCCCATGAGCCTCCTTGCCTGCAGTTGGGGTGTTTGGTTTTTCACAGAACTTCTAGCTCCCATGGATCACCTATCCTGCCCTCCAGATGTGGGGTCCCAGGGGCTCCACTGCTGCTTCCAGCCAGATGAGGCCGAGGCAGCACCTCTAAGGGCTGCCGAGCCTGTTATCCCCTGGCAGACCAGACAAAGCCCAGGGCACAGAGCAGGGTGGGACCTGAGCAAGCCCCAAACAGACGGAACGTCCGCGGGACCAGGAAAGGCAAGTGGCCCGCAGCCTCCGCAGAGCCAAACAGGTGCTTCCCCACTCCGCCCGCCCTCTCTGAGTTCCACTTTACAGATGAGGAAGCTGAGGCTTAGAAAGAGGTGCCACGAAGCTTGAAGGTGGTGGAGCCAGGATTCCTGTCGGGCCTGAATGCCCGTAGAGGTCAGCTCCACAGAGGTCACCTGTCAATCGTGTTGGCAGAAGGAGCTCGTGCTGCAGTATCAGGGAAGGTCTATGCTTGTGGAGAAAGAAATGGGTCTTGCGCCTGGGCTTAGTGTAATATTTGCTTCCCATGAAGGTCCTTCCTTAAGAGAAAAATGGAAGAAGAAAGGAGAGGGGCTTCCAGCCAGCTCAAGCCTGGCCTTCCTCCTTCCACTCCGCGCTCCTGGAGACAAGGAATGGCGGTGACAGTGAACCCAGACAGGCTGGGCTTCCGGCAGTGCTGGGGAGGGGATGGGAGTGGTGCCCCAACCCAAGAGCGCCACTGTCCTCTCCGAGGCCCCACCAAAGAGCCAGACCAGGGCTGGGGATTCGGGGGCACTGCCTGCAGTTGGGAGAGGGTCCCCTGTGATTCAGAGCTTTCCATCTGAGTGTCAAAAAAACCTCCACACTGTCAAGCTGTAGCCTGGTGCCAAGGGAACAAAAAAGGCTGAATCTGGGGGTGGTGTCTCCCTGTGTGACCTTGGGCACAAGCCGCACCCTCTCTGAGCCTAGGTGACTGAGCTGACTGCACTCCTACTAGGTCTCTCCTTGGAAGCCCCTCCCTTTCACCCCTGGCCTCCAGGCTCGCTGGGCCTCTGTCCCCTCCACCTCCCTCTGCAGGCCCCAGGATACAGGCCGTCTGCGGTGGAGGAAGCCAGCAGGGCGGGGAAAGGCGGGAGGGGCAGGAGTTACAGGAACCGGCTGGGCCCGGGCGATTGCTCAACTGCGGAGCCTGGCCCTGCCGGCCTCCACAGGCCCCCACTACACCAGCCTGCCCTCCCTTCTGGCTCTGCGTTGCAAACATTCCTCGCCAACCTCGGCTGCTGCAGCCCCGGAAGGGGGAACTGCCGCAGACACAGCACGAGGCCGCCAGAAACACTTAACCCCTTCCCTCCTTCCAGGCAGAGACTTCAGGAGGGAGGCCAGGCCTGGGTGGCCACCAGAGGTCCTGGGCTCTAAGCTATCTGATCAGGTGAATCACTGACAGCTCCAGCCGGCTGGTCCCGGTTACCAACCCGGATCAACAGGCTGCGTGTTGGGCTCACACAGTCTCAGTCGCGGATTCACTGCGCAGGGATTTCCAAACTCCCCTGGATTATGGCCAATGGCACCAGGGGTGAAAATCCCACAGGGAGGACCTCACAGAGCCCACGTTCTAATGGGGGGTGGAGTGAGGTATGATCACATAAACTGGCATTTTTAGGTCATTACTGTGATGAGTGTTATAAAGGAGAAGTACAGGGTGAGTTCCTAGAGTTCCTAGTGTGCACTAAAGTGGCTTGGTTAGGCAGGGAGGGCTTCCGGGAGGAAGAGATATTAGCAAGCCATGAGAGGAGGAGAGGGAGAGCATTCCGGCAGAGGATGCAGCCAGTGTGAGGCCCCAGGAGGCAGAGGATGCAGGTAATGTGAGGCTGCAGGAGATGAGAGAGGTGGGCACGTTCCAGTTTGCGATCTGGCTGAGAGAGGGTGAGGGGTCGAGGCCACAGTGGGAGGGCTCGGCCGGTGTGGGCTCCAGAGGACCGAAGGGCCGAAGGGCCACTCCTGGGCACGGCCTACCTCCTGAGGGCGGTGAGGCGCCATGGAAGGTTTTACCTGCAAACGATACAGTCAAGTCCAGCATTAGGCACTAAGATATCCTTGAGTGAGAAACAGAACCATAGCAGAGAAAGGAAGTTAGCACGTTTTCCCATATAAAGCAAATATGCTCCTAGACCAGAACACCTGAACCATGCCAAGGTGCCACCAACAGGACACGACTCAAATGGCAGCCTGGCAGCTGGGCCAGGCCAGCCAGAGGCAGCAGGCTCCCACTGGCCCTTCCTCCCTGGGTGGGGTCTGCCCCTCCCACACCCGGAGGGCTCTGAACACAGCTAGAGCTCATAAATGCAGCAGTTAGAGTGCTGGAGTCGGGAGGGGCTGAGAGGCGCACAGCCTCCTCACCTCACAGATGAAGAAACTGAGGCCCAGAGGCAGCGACAGCTGGCCCAGGCGCCCACTGGAGGCAGGTGTGGAAGAACGCGGATGGCCACTTTGGGGATGCTCCGGGCACAGGGCGCCGGGATGCCCCCAGCCTCCCTATGACTTTGGAACCCACAGAGGAGACCCCAAAACCTCTGAGGATCCCCTCAACCAAAAACCCCCTTTCTTTCTTCTGCTCTCATGGGAACTCAGAGGCCAAAAGGAACAGGGATTCAAGTCTAGAAAGCCAAGAACCATTTGGCTGTGGGCAGTCACTACACCTTCGTGAGAGAGTCCACTCCTCTGCTCCCTGGGAGTGCGAAGGAATGAGCCAGGGGACAAAGCCAGATGCTGGGAAAGGCTAGGCGGTGATGTTTTCTCTGTGGACATGTTTCCTTTACTTTCTTCTTCTTCTTCTTCTGTTTAATGAAGTATTACTCAGAACACTGACATCCCAGAGATGAAACTGAGCTGCCCTGGCTGGAGAGGAGGGGGTGTCCTTGGCCCTGCTCTGAGCACACCCATGTGGGCACATTCGCATGGGCCCCCTCTGTGTCCCCCTGGCCAGCACAGGTGGAAGGCAAGCCAGGCTGGGATTTTAGGGATGGGGAAACCAAGGCCCAGGGATGTGGAGGCACTTGCTCAGAGTCACACAGTCCTCATGGGTGGGGCCAAGTGTCCCCAGGCCAGCCTGACCTGAGACACACCTTAGCACCTGCCCCTCAAACACCCTCCTCCAGCCCAGGCCATGGCCATGGAAGCGGGAACCAGTGCCTGCAATTCTGTTTTCTGAGAATCGTCTCGTTTGTTGGGAGAGCACATTTAGCCAGAGCTCCCCAAGTCCTGCTCAGCAGGTTGAGGCTTCCCAGGGGAAAACATGCCCAGGACGCTCTCTCTGTTGAAATCGTGCCCGGACAGGACAGGAAGGGGCTGGCCTAGCTCCATGCCCACACACGCCCCAGGAAGGAGGGGCTGGGTTCCTTCTAGTCCCCCGGGGTCACTCCAGCAGGAGGTCTGAGCAGGAGCTAATGTGTGTTTCACGGCTCCACGTCCATTACTGGTCACAGAGCAAGGCTCTTTCCAGGTAACAGCCCTTCTATAAGGGCTTTGTGCCTGAGGTACCCCCACCTCGGTGACCCTCCATCAGCCTGGCGATGGTAACACATTCCAGAGCCCTTACGCTGGACCAGGGATCATCTCTCTGAATCCTCATCACAACCAGAGGACTTTGCCATTATCACCCCATTTTACAGATGGGAAATTGAAGACTGTGAAGTCACTTGCCTGGGTCACACAGCTAATAACAGACATGGGCAGGCCTGGGATGCAGGTCTCAGGCACCCAGGTGCATGCTTCTCACCACTACACCTTACGGCCTCCTAACCTGGAAGTGTGACTACTTCTCACAGGAAGGAGGCTCTGGTAGTGCAAAGATTCCCCTGGCTCACCCTGGCTTCTCATCTGGTTACTGTACATGAAATAAATATTTTATCACACTATTTATTATTTGTTTAACTTCGGCATTGATCCAACCTAAGTTTACTCTTACGCCCATCTTCTCTATGTGAGTTCGCCCAGGTCACTGATTTTGTCTCTGAGCTTCCAGAAGGCAGAACTGCCTGTATTGCTGGAGCCGCCATTACAAAAAAATCTCATTTTATGCATTTCATAGAAATAAGTGGCGTGACTTGGAAATACTAGTGGAACTTACTGCTTGGGGACAAGGACTGCACAGTGCCCTGATGCCTGCGAGCCACCTGGTACAGGGTGAACGCTCAAAAAATGGGGCTGGATTATTCTGATCGCTGTTATTTGCTGGCCCTGAAGATTGCATTCCCTTCCTCCGTCCTTCACATCACAGGTTAGCAGACTCACGTCTTACAGTTACTGACTGGCACTAAGTGATTAGAAAGCAACTGTGTGACTGAGGCAAGTTGTCGGACCTTCTTGTGTGAAGCGACAGTTACAGTTTGTCAACCTGCAAGACGGTCTCCAGACGGTTCTGACCTCCTGGGATTGCCATTTCTGTAGGCCCCGCCCCACAATGGACAGGGCTGCCCTGTGGGGCCAATGAGGCCTGTGGAAATGCCCGCATGTACCACCCAAGGCAAGGGCATAAAAGGCATGTGGCTCTGGTCTTGGTTCTCTTGAGCACTCTAGCGGGAAGCCAGCCACCTTGTTGTGAGGACACTCAAGCTGCCCTGCAGAGGGACTGAGGCTTTCTCCCAAATGGCCCTGTGAGTGCACCCATCTCAGAAGTCCACCCTCCGGCCCCAGTCAAGCCGTCAGATGACTGCAGCCCCAGCCAATATTGACTGCAACTCAAAAGAGACCTCAAGCCAGAACCATCCAGCTAACCCACTTCTAAATCTCTTACCCACAGAAACTTTTGAGATAATAAAATCTTCTTGGATGTGATTTGTTAAGTAGAAGATGGAACAGAGAGGAACAGAGAGACCTTTTAGTTATGAGGGCCTTTCAGTGACTGGGTCCCCAAGGTCTGTTCCTTGGAATACCTATCCCAGAATATGCTCTGGAAACCATGGTCCATCTAATGTGGGCACACGGCAGACTTCAGTCTCTCGTTCGAGATTCCCAGTACCCTCTGGCAGGTTGAAGCAGATCCCTCTGGGCACAGAACCCAGCATTCTCCTACCCAAGCATTTCTCAGGAGGATTTGTGGAACTCTGGCACCCGAGCTTCCGAGCGCTCTGGGAGACACACCCCAACTGTCACAGCAGCAGGCTCCTTGAGCACAGTAAACAAGTGTGCCCAATATAAACCAAAAGCACCCCAAGCCTGATATTCAGAGGGTGGTAGCCCATGGTGGTCTACAGAAAGGCAACACGGCCAGCCTACCATGACGGGCGGCCTCTCCTTTGCCAGGGATGGGGCTGGTTCGCCCTGGGCCTCCTCTGGCCACACCCATCTTATGCTCAGCGGTATCAGGCACGGTTCTGGGCCAATGTCTGGCTGTGGGCCTCAGTCCATTTGGGCACCATTTGGGATTCAGATTTTGGTTCCCAAATTCTGTAGGTCTGTAGTCCACCGACCTGTTGGCGGTGCCGTGCTGGTGAACTCCTCACCCCTAGTGTTTTCCACATCCTCGAGGCCAATGCGTCAGGCTTGAGTACTTCTCAGTGGAAATGCAACCATGGTCTTAAAACACGAACCACTGGAAAACAGCATTTGTTATAGAAAAATTCATTTTAAAGGCAACTTTTTAAGAGCAAATCCGCCCCCTTCAGCGAGGAAGGCTGTGCTCAGAAAACCACCTTCTCTTGGGCCGCTGGGGCTGTGTGGGGGTGAGAACAGAAATCTTCCTACACACTAGGAGGCGAAGTGTCGGAAACATGATTTTGCCCGCATGTTGCTCCACTTTCTGGCATGGACATCCTGGGGCTCTCACGCCTGTTTGGAGCCATCACTTCCAGACACCAAGTGGCCTGCCCTCCTCCCTCGGGCCAGAGGCCCCAGTGGGTACCGCACTGCTCCGAGTGTGGCCCCAGCTGGTCCAGCAGCTGCCTTACCTCGGATCCCCTGCTCAGGCCTGCTGCACCAGGGGCTGCACTCGACATGACGCCAACATGATGCATGAAAGTTGGGGGATGCTCGGGTGCACCCAGAACTGCCCTCTCGAGGTGCTTTCGTCCTGCCCTCCTCAGACAGCTTCTCAGAGGGCCTCCAGGCGCATTCTGTGCTTCTGCAACCCCCTTCCTCACAGAAATCTAGTGAGATGATCAGGGCCTGAGGGAGGAGGAAGTTAGGAGACCCAAATAGGAGGCAATGACAACAGCAAAGACGCCCAGTCCTTCAAAGCACTCACAACCAAGAGGGGGGCAATGAAGGCTCAGAGAGGGGAAGCCATCTACCCAAGGTCACACACCCAAGAACTGGCAGAGTCAAGATGACCCCACAGCCACCATGCTCTCTGCAGACATCCTGCTGAATAAGGACTTCCTTGATGGGGACATGGGAGTGGCTAAAGGGACTGTCAAAGAACTGCACCCCCATCCCTACTGGCTTAGCCCAGTGATTCCCAATATGGGGTTCCCTGGGGGACCCTCAAAGGCTCTCTGGGGGACTTCATGCTGCTTACGGCCCCTTGAAATCCCCCCCAATCACTACACCTTCACTGAGGGCCAGGCCACCACAGGCTCCATACAACAACATGGATCTTTGCTTTGGGTGGGATGATATCAGCCCACTTTGTTCATCCTGTCTTGGGCTGAGGGGAGTTGAACAGGCAGCACTGTGACCCTTGATTAACCCAAAATGCGAAAGCTTGTATTACTTAACAACAGTAGTTTGCTTGTTGGGCAAACATGGACCCTCAGGCAAGTAACAGCAGGATGGACTTTTCTGGGGGGAATGTAGAGAGGAATTAGTTTAGAAATTTGAGTTATTGAAGGGAGGGCATTTATCTCAGTTATTTTTTCAGTGGCAGCACCTGATATTTGTATTTTCCTTAAAATGAAACAGGTGCCTCCCCACCCCCACCCAGCCCTGCTGGTGCTGCAGTGCAGAGGCAGCCCCAGGGGGCAGGGTGCCACCAGCTGTCCAGGAGGCAAAGGACAGGAGGGGTCGACCACGCACACATCCCAGGTCTTCACTAGAAGTTCCTCAAGCCGAATTCTCAACTCCTGTTTGCAGGCTTTCTGGGAAGCCTAGCGGAAACCAGCCACAGACAAACTTGAATTTCTTGTAGAAACTTGCAATAAGATGGGCGTGGGCCTCTCTGTGCAGCTTCTACTCCACTCTGCACCCTCCTTCCCGTCTCAGGCACGTCCTAGTGCACACGTGGCGCTGGCTGGTGCTCTCTGGCTCCTTCTGGGTGGACTCCTTCCTCCCCAACCCTTCCACCTCCAGCCCACACCCACAAGAGGTTTGAGGCCTCTGAGGCACTGGTCAGGGGGGCTCAGAGGTTAAAGGCCAAGGCTCTGAAATCAGATGGATGCAGGGGCTCATAATCAACTGACAGGTCCACCCTGCAGCCCCTCACCTGGCGCCCTGCAGTCAGGACTTGAGTTCCTGGAGGTGTGTGTCTCCCACCAGGCTGAGCCCCTATTGGAAGCAGGTGTCCAGAGGGCTCGTGTCCAAAGCCTGACTCTTCATTTTCTTGCTGTCAGACCTAAAGCAATTCATTCCCCTCTCTGTGCTTTGTTTCCTTCCCCTGGGAAATGGCCGTCCTTCCTCGGCTTGCCTTGAGGATGACCTCAGCAGGTGAAGAGTTTCCCATCATGCCTAGCATGCAGGACACGGCCACAAGCAGGGTATCACTAGCCAGTCTTCCAGAGGCCAAATGCAATGTGGAGCATGCTGCAGGCACTCAGGTACTGTTCGGCGTTCAGGCTGATTTTCTTTTAAACCAACATTTCTTATAATATAGGGATTTAAATTCTGTATTATTTGTGGAAAATGTGACTTTTTCAAAGTAAAATCTTGACCTCTTTTTCCCCACCTATGGCCAGGCATCAAGACAGGTATTTCCTGTGCGTGCTCCCATTTTACAGATGAGGAAGCCGAGGCTCAGAGAGGTCAAATGAGGTTCCAAAGGTCACTGGGTGGTAGTCAAGCTCTTAACCCTTAGTGTCTCAGATTCATAACCCCTGGCTTCTCTGAGACTCTTGCTTACCTTCGGAACCAGGGGCCCCATCACAGAGATAAGCAACAGTGATCAACTGCACGTACGAATTAACCAGAGGTAATCATGTGGTAAGGGCTTATCCCCTGAAAGATTTCCCTGAGTGGGAACCAGTGAGACCAGAAAGGAGAATGTGTATCGGGTCACACACAAAAAAAACAGTCGACTCCAAAAGACTGCAACTTCCCCAAGACTGAGCTAACTGGGGCCAACTTTTATCTGATTCCCTAGTTAGCAAGAAAAAGGTGGGGAGGTGGCAGAATCAGTTTAGAAACTGCACTGGTTTTAGTACAAGGCATGCAAATGGTGGATGGGAGGGTAGGGGTGGGAGATTCATGCTCTGTGGCTTTTTTGAGTGGGGGTCTCAGAGGGTCTCTCAGGCAGCTGTGTGAGGTGGTGGTTAGAATCCAGGTTCTCCAGGCACAGAAACCCGGGTTTCCCTCCTGGCAGGCTGTATGACCTCTCTGACCCTCAGTCTCTTCATCTGAAATACGTCCAGCAGAGCTTTACTGTCTGGCTGCTCCTTGTGGAGCCGGAGCCAGGTACCCAGAACTCAACAATAAATGGGAGAGACCAGACTGGAGCCTTCACCAAACTCACTGCCTAACAGGGGAGACAGAGATTTGGGTATCAGCCATAAGGAAACAACACAGGGATGAGAATAATTTCTATCTCAGGATGGTGGCGAAGGCTCAGAGTATACATCCAAGCCAAGGCTGAGTGCAGCATGGAGCACATAGCGAGCGCTCAGTCAGTGAAAAGTGCCTTTGTTGCTCCTGTTGTATTATTATTACTGTAACCTGAATAAAACTGAGCTGCCTCGGGGCCCAGTCTCATCACCATGTCACCCTCAAAAAGACCACCAGTCTGACAACCCCAAATCACTGGAAAGCATTTTAAATCTTCCTGATCTCTCAAAGAGACACCAAAGGGGAATTCTTCTGCATACCACACACAAAAGCATTCTTCAGGCTCTGTGCCAGTTTATCTGCCTGGAAGGTCTCATAGCAATTGCTCCAGAAACATCTCCCTTCCCTGCACCTCCTTTTTATCCTTCTTAGAGAGGCAGGGGCCCCTGGGCCTGGCCTCAGGAGACAGGTGAGTGGGTGGATCTGCCCTCATGAGCCAGTTGCTGAACCACTCTGAGCCTCAGTTTCTTCATCTACAAAAAATGTGCGTAACAATAGCACTGCCTTCTATGAGTTACTGTGGGGACTCTTGTGGAGATAATGACTATAAAGCTTTTAAGATGGGCACACACAGCCCTGCTACCCAAGTGTGGGCTTTATGATACCTTCTACTATCCTCCGCCATCTGCCCTTAGCATCTCACCGCAGTTAGGAGCCCTGGGCAGTCTCCTGTCCGTCAGTCTGGGCCTTCTAGGTTCTGGCGCCCAGTGGCAGCTCCACCCACCGAGCACAGGGGAGGGGCCAGCACAGGGCAGGCGAACTCCGAAACTTTCTGAATAGGGGACAGCAAGGGCCCACACTGTGGCATCAAGATGCCATTCTCTCTCCTCCATCTGAGGCTCAGGAGGCAGCTTCCCCTGGGTATCACCTCAAAATGTCAGTGCTCAGAGGGCAGGGCCAGGTTTACCACAGGCACTTGGACTCACTGGCACACTGGGCAAGATGGCTCCCCACCAACTAAGGCCACTGCCTGCCCGCAGCCAGAGCAGTATGGCCCAAGGTGGTTCTGCCTCCTCCTGGCTCCCAGGGCCACAGGGCAGAAGGGCTCTGGACCAGGTCTTTGCCAAACGTGTGGTTCTTGTTCTCACAGGGCTCACAGACAGGGCCTGAGTGCGAGGTGAGACACCCAGGGGTGGCAGGGGAGAACCTGCTGGGGCATCAGGGAGGGCTTCCCAGAGGAAGAGGCACTGAGAACAGGGCTGGAGGGGAAGGAAGGAAACAAATTCCAGGCGATGACCATAGCTCAGGGCAAAGGCCTGGAAGGGAGACAGTGGTAGGTTCAGGGAGCCGCAAAAAGCCCTTTCCCACTTCCCTGCCAGGCGCAGTTTACTGGGCACCATCACTACACCATCGCCCCTCACCTCACCTCCCCGGAGGTCCGGGGTCACAAGCTTTTACTCCCAATACGCAGATGGGGAGACCAGTTCTAAGACAGAAAGCCACAATTCCCAGTGCATCTCCTGACACCTGGCTCAGGTAAGAGAATCAAGCTGCAAGACTGGGTCCAAAGCACCCCTGGCCTCTGTCACATGGTCAGGATGCAGGACCCCCATTTTACAGATGAAGAAACTGAGGATTAGTGAGCCGACAACCTCCCTCCAGTCCTGTCATTGTAGTTTATCTCTGGGGCCTAGGACAAGCCTGAGGTGCCCAGATGCCTCCCCATGTGGGGCAGGAAACAGCCAGGTGCAGTGACTCGGGCAAAGGACAGAGGGGAGCCGAGGATGGGTGGTGGAAGCGGCCACCAGGCAGGGCAGGTGGGGGAATGTGGGTGGGGACCAGGTAGCTTCAAGAAGAGGCCAGTTGGGAGGGGTTACAAGGCCCCAGGAAGGCCCCTCTCTCAGTCCGGGGTGAGACCCTGGCTTCAGGGAAAACCTTTCCGCCACCCCCCAGCTGGGCGGGCAGAAGGACCACTGCCTCCGGGCCGCCCAATCGGACACACCCCGTCTGAATGGGAGGCAGCCGGGGCCTTCCCCGAGGAGCCCCCAGTACCTGCCCCGGCCTCGGCGGCCCACCGCCCACCCCCAGCCTCATTAGCACCGACGCCCATCGGCCTCCCTCGGCTTCCGGTGGCTCCAGAATTTAAAGGTTAAATCCTAACCTCGTCTCAGCAGTTTCTCGCGGCTTTGCCTACCCAGCGCCAGTTGCTGGTAATTATATGCATCTCCGAGCAGCCAATCAGCTGTCAGACTGACAGATACTGATCTTTTCGTTTTATTTTTAGCTCTGTGCTTCCCCCTCTAGTTGCAAAAAAAAATTCTGTTTGTTCTGTGTGCTGCTTGCTGCCTGGCTCCGGCTCTGCAGCCGCTCTCATGTCCGCGGCCCTGCGGGAGCAGGAAGCCTCAGGGGCTGGAGCCTCCCGTCCCTGCAGGAAAGCCAGGAGCTAAACGCCCGGCTGCCACCCACCCAAGCCC